GTATCACAGCTCAGGAAAAAAAAGCACCGAAATAAAGCACCGAAATGTGCGCTGCTTTTCGGTCTGGTTACTACCGTTTATGTCAGAACCGGTGCCATCATGGCACCGGACACCGGTACCCATCCCTAGTTACAATTTTCTCCAACAAAGAAGGCATGTGTTTTCCAATTTTTTTTCTTTGTTTATTTTTAAGTATGTTGTAAGTAAATGTATTATAAAGTAATAGTGCTTTTGATAGGTTACACTAGGTCATAAGCTTTTCTACTTCAATAAGTACAGAACACTGCCACTACAGACTCAGGCATTACTATATAAAATTGCTTCATCTAGTGATTATGTCAAAAATTATACAGATGCGTGGGTGCTACAACATCTTTTAGTTTACTCTGAAGCTTGTAAGGCGGTTAGCAGCATCCACCTTACACAGTTCAACGGGCTGGTTTTCCTGTTGTGAAGTGCTGATGTACCAGCCGCGGAACTTGACAGACTCAAAAGTGGTTAGAGAAATTCCAGTGGTTTTCCTGTAGAAGAGAAATCGGTCCATGTCTCTGTCGGTTAAAATGTCATCATGGTATTGCTGGCAGAAAGAGATGAAAAGAATACGTTTCCCAGTCATTTTTTCATGCATGGAAACACATTTCGTCCCAATGAAAAAGAAAAATGTTTATGGAAAGTTAAAACTGGGACTTAATCATTAGGAAAAATATCCACATTTTGCACTAAAGAGGTATGTGAGGTATGTTCAGACATAGTAAGTCAAAGTTATTGGAAAACTACTCAGAGTAAATAATTTTAAAACCAAATTTTTTATACTGTCCCCTGTATAAGTTGTAATACTAGTAGTAAAAGCCTATAAACATCAACTTAAAGTGTGACATATAAAGTAAAATATTGGACCTATTAAATCCCCATTATAATTTTCAGATAAAAATTATAGGACAGGGTAAGACGGGAGGCTGGAGGCAAGGAGAATTTGTCTATTTAATACTCTCTAAAAAGAAATAAAATGGGATTGCATCATGTGAATTTATATTTACCTCCAGAAACAGCACAACTTTATTATCTTCCATGCGGCAAGACATGTACAGGTTGTTGTTGATAGACAGGACGACAATCAGACCAGGAGAGTCACCAGGAGGGACGGAGAAAGGGATGTACCGGGACATTTTAAAGTTCACTAACGTAAGGAAACAAAAAAAGTAAGAACAGGAGCTCGTGTGTAGTTGGAAGACTGAAGTTGTGCAGAATGGCCATTTGTTTTTAGTTGGTAGTGATGGACGGATGGATAACACTCTCTACCTAAAGTCCAACAGGTTAAACATACTTGCTCCAACTACAAGTCTTACATTCAAATACCTTTTGCTTTTACTTAATGAAGTAAACACAGCTGTTCTTTATGGGGGTTAACTTTATTAGATTGTTAAAACTGATGTCACATTTCCAACCTTGAAGCTGAGGGTCATCAGATATAATATCTCTGAAATTCAGCGGAGTAGGACTATAAAGCGGCATGAACCTGAAATACTCAAGTTTAGTACCAGTACGTTAATATACCTGCTTATGTAAATGATTTTGTGTCCTGTTTGTACCTTTGCGGTGGCAATATCCCCCTTGCAGAGTGATGGCCTGCAGCTGTAACTCTCCTGACAGAACAAGATCTTTCTGAGAGTTGTCACACAGTGTCAACGCTTTCTCACTGTTGGCACGCAGGAAGTCCCTTCGTTTTATTCCTTGGGTGGGAGTCCAAACAGTTTCTAAAGAGACAGAGGAAACAAAACAAGGAAAACAACAAAAATTTCTATTCACCTAAAGCTAGACAAACAGCAGTTTCTGTTTTTCTAAAAAAGAAAAAAAAA